TTAGAAGTGAAGAACGGCAACACAGCATCGCAAAATGGCAACAAGAGTGGAACGCTTCATATAAGGGTCGGTGGACGTACCGTCTCATACCTCGGATTGATGAGTGGTTCAACCGGAGTCATGGTGAGATCAACTATTATTTAACGCAGATGTTATCAGGACACGGATGCTACCGGAAGTATCTCCACCGCTTTAAGCATGACGATACCCCCAGAGTGCCCGTCCTGTCCAGGGGTCGATGAAGATGCGGAGCATGTCTTCTTTGTGTGTCCACGTTTCAACCAACAGTGCAATGAGTTAGAGAAGATTCTGAAGAAGAGAACCCAACCAGAGTCAATGGTAGAGGCAATGTTGTCGTCAGAAGCTGTCTGGAACGCCACAAGCACTTTTGCTACAAAAGTGCTTACCGAGTTGCGATCCATTGAGAGGAAAAGAGCGAATGACAGAAACTAGAAGGAAGAAATAACATCTTAGCCACCAGAAGGAAGAGCGGCAGCTAATTCCTCCCCCCGCCAAGAAATGCCTTACGATGGTACCATGGGGGATCAGAGGATAGAAGAGAAAGGGGTTTAGGGTTTAGTGGGTAGGGGCGTCAGCGTCAAATTTTAGTATGACGCTGCGTCGAGTCGCCACATATCCGGGCCAACATCTATGCCTAGAATCCGTAAAAAGGATTCCCCCCCCCTAAAGGAAAAAAAAAAAACACACACACACTCTGATGCCAAACGTCGGAGGCCCAAAGCAGAGCAGGAGCCTACTATTGTCATCAGTAGTCACATCGGTGCTCACTTACGGAATATCCATTTAGGCCGACGCACTAAAGACGCAAGAATCATGGAGGAAGTTTGGACCAGTATATCGACTGAATGCCCTACGAGTAGCTAGCGCCTTCCGCACAATATCAGAGGAAGCAGTGTGTGTTATTTTCGGTACTCTGCCTCTCAGAGTCCTAGCTAAGGAAAGACAGAACCTATATCAACGAAAAAGGTCAACCACACTGAGCCCTGAAGAACTTAGAAGGGAAGAACGGGATCACAGCATTGCAAGATGGCAACAAGAGTGGAATGCTACAGAGAAAGGTCGGTGGACGTTCCGTCTCATACCTCGGATTGATGTGTGGTTCAACCGCAGTCACGGTGAGATCAACTATTATTTAACGCAGATGTTATCAGGACACGGATGTTACCGGAAGTATCTTCACCGCTTTAAGCACGATGATACCCCAGAGTGTCCGTCCTGACCAGGGATCAATGAAGATGTGGAGCATGTTTTCTTTGTGTGTCCACGTTTCAACCAACAGCGTGATGAGTTCGAAAAGATTCTGAAAAAAAGAACCTAATCAGAGTCTATAGTAGAACAAATGTTGTCGTCAGAAGCTGCCTGGAACGCCACAAGCACTTTTGCTACAAAAGTGCTTACCAAGTTGCGATCCATTGAGAGGAAAAAAGCGAAAGACAGAATCTAGAAGGAAGAAATAACATCTTAACCACCAGAAGGAAGAGCGGCAGCTAATTCCTCCCCCCGCGAAGAAATGCCTTACGGCGGTACCATGGGAGATCAGAGAATAGAAGAGAAAGGGGTTTTAGGGTTTAGTGGGTAGGGGCGTCAACGTCGAGTTTTAGTATGACGCTGCGTCGAGTCGCCACATATCCAGGCCAAACAGCTATGCTTAGAATCTATATATGTAATACTCCTATATAGACAGTTGGTACGGGAAAGAATGTCCCTACATTACGGTGCCAACAATATTTATTTTCTCTCTCGTTCGAGACACATTAACTATACTGCGCATGCTTGAGAATTCTCTAAAATACCAGTAGAGGGAAAATAATCCGGAGAATAATTTTGTGGTTATATTTGTTTTTATATATTTATTAATAATTATAATTTGGAAAAATAGTGCTGAGTTCTTCAATTTTAGGTTTTTTAACATGTGAATATTTTATTTTTAATAACCAGTTACTCAAAAGTGGTGAACTCATGTTATTTATGTGATAGAAAGGCATCTCGAGCTGATAATATTTCATTGCACAGGTAAGTTCAAATTATTTCCAATTTTGTAATTAACAACTTTTTTATATTCAGAATAATATTTAAAATTTAACAAATTTAGATTTCCAAAAAATTTGGACGTACATATAAAATGGCTCAATGCTTGTGGGCTCACTATTAATGATGATGTAAGGAGAACTAGTACATGTTCTAGACATTTTAAAGCTGAAGATATTTGTCAATCTAATATCTTTGGAACTGTTAAATCTTCAATAAAACGTAATGCAGTCCCTACACTTCATCTTATAAATCCAATTATTATTGATACAAGTAATAAATCACAGCCGAATACACCATTGTCGGAACTATTTAATGAGAATGGAGTCACCAATCAATCATCATATTTTCCTGACAATAATGTACTTGATATTGTGGAAAAAAGTAAAAAAAAATAACATTTATGCAAAAAATTACAAGACAGAGCACAAATAAAATATTTATTTATAATTCATATTACTTTTTAGGTCCTGAAAATTTTGTTGAATTAGACAATTTTGAAATTCAAACGTCAAATAAATGTAACATTAATTCTGGTAAGTGTATGAAAGACATTTCATTAAAAGTGATTTTATATAAATTATTAAATATTTTAATTTTAGATGGCTCCTGTGAACAATATGATTTTAATCAGAGTATGAAAAATACAATTTCAAATTTTAGTAGTGAAGACGAAAATACTGGTAAGAATAAAGAGTTATATCCTTTAAATAGCTTACTGACAAATTTTCTACTGTTAAATATTTGTTTTAAGTTCCAGGCGAAAATAATTCCCCAAGTCAATGTCGAAAACGTAAATTTTTTGAGCCCCGCTATATTAGTGAAATATCACCAACAGATTTTGCGACACCTAAAAGGGCTAAAAGAACCCTTGATTTAATTGAAAAAACTGATAGAAGAAAAACGGAAAAAATAAAACAGTTACAGAGACAAACTAGGGATCTCCAACAAAAAGTTGGATCTTTGCAGGATTCAATAAACCATCTTAAAGAAAACCGTATGTTAACAGATGAGAGTGGCGATGCTCTGATGGTATAGTATATTCTAATTAATATAAATTGTATAGACATAAAATTGTATATATTTTACACTATTGTTATAGACAACAAATTTAACTAATAATTTTGTATATAAGAATATCCAAATTGATATGTTATTATAGGTGATAGGGTATTTATCATCGAATATTTGAAACAATTGTAGATGTGTTTTTTTTTTAATTTTTATCGACGGGTTTCTTTATAAATATTTTAATTGATATTTAATATTTTACTTATTAATGATATATATTATGTTTTTTTTTTTTTATTTTATTTTATTTTATTTTAAATTGCAAGACGATAAAATGAAAACAATCCCAAATTTTCTCTTCGGTAATATTCTTTTATAATATTTTTTTCTATGTAGAGTATGATGTCTGAAGATTTATCAAATATAAAAAGTATGAAAATTAAAGATGGAAGAGGATACTCACCGCAAGTTCGGTCTTTCGCGTTATCTTTACATTTTTATTCACCGAAGGCTTATAGATACGTTCGAGAAAAATTTAATAATAAGTTGCCATCTGTATCAACAATAAAATCTTGGTACAGAGTAGTGGATGGATCTCCTGGGTTTACTGATGAATCGTTTAAAGCTATTGAATTGCGATGTAAAGAGAAAAGCGGCATAATTAACTTGGTTCTGGATGAAATGTCGATAAAAGAAGCAATAATATATGACAAAAAAGAATTTCACGGAGGCATAAGCTTTGGGACAGTACATAATTTTGATTCCGCTTATTCTGATAATGATAATCCGATTACAGCAAAAAATGCGTTGGTTTTGATGGCAGTATCTATGAATGAAAATTGGAAAATTCCTATCGGTTATTTTTTAATTAGATCTCTGAATAGTGAAGAGCGCGCAAATATTTTAACATTGGCATTTGAGCTATTACAAAGAGCTAATTGTAAAGTTTATTCAATAACTTTCGATGGAGCAGCTTCGAATATAAGTATGTGCAATCATTTAGGCGCTAATTTAAATTATGGTCCTAATTTTAAACCCTACTTTACAAATCCAGTTACATTTGAATTATGTTATATATTTTATGATTTCTGTCATATGATAAAATTAATTAGAAATACTTTAGGAGATCATAAGACAATAAAAACTGTTGACAATAAATCTATTTTATGGTCATACATAGAAAAATTGTATGATTTGCAATGTAAAGAGGGATTGAGAGTGGCTAATAAGTTAACTAAGAAACACATTTATTATCAAAATAATAAAATGAATGTAAAATTAGCTATACAAACACTTAGTGAAAGTGTCTCAAAAGCTTTAAACTTTCTACTAATAATTGATGATGCAGAAATTCGAAGAAACTTTGAAGACAGTTCAGAAACTGCTTTATTTTGTTTAAATTTTAACAATATCGGTGATATGTTAAATTGTAAAAATAAATTTTCAAAAGATGAATTTAAGACCCCGTTGACTGATGATACTTACTTGAAAATGAAAAACTATGCTTTAAAATTTGAAAACTATATTATTAATTAATGTAATGACAAGGGAACGCCATTAATTTATACAAAACGAAAAACTGGCTTCATTGGAATTATTATAGCTCTGAGAAACATATTTCCTCTGTATGATCAATTAAAAAAAGTAGGAATGAGTTATTTGTTAACTTACAAGCTGTCCCAAGATTATATTGAAACCTTTTTTAGCGCTATTAGAAGTCGTAGAGGTTTCAACAATAATCCAAATGTATTACAATTTAAAAATGCTTACAAGCGTTTATTAATTAGACACGAGTTGAAGCAATTTGAAAATGGTAACTGTGTTTTTGATAATGTAGATATTTTACATGTATCGTCAAGCAGCAGAAATGTTTACGATCAAATTGGACACGATGATTTGCTTCATAATACTGAAGTGCCAGATCTTCCAGATCATGATTATATACGTTATTGTTGGGACTTAACTCCTTTTGTTGACAATATCGTTTTGTATATATCCGGCTATATTTCATATAAAGTTTCCAAAATTATATTTTGTAAAATTTGCAAAAATCAATTAACTACCGATGAATCTCGTCAAGCAATGCCTCTTTTATCACTAATAAAAAATAAAGGTCCTTTTAAAATTCCGTCAACAGATGTTATAAATATTTGTAGAATTTCAGAAAAAGTAATTAGAGAATATTCTCATGAACTTTTGAATAAAAATATAAAGAGAATAGTTATTAATCAAATATATCGAAAAATTCGGATTATGTTTGATAATAGAGAAATGAATGATCATGTTTTGTTACAAAATTTTTTTGATAATCACCGTAATTAGTTATGTAAATGGATCATTGAAGTTTATTTAAATACTAGATTCTTTTATGAAGCGAAAAAACTTTCTGTCAGAGAAAATTATGTACGACAAAAGTATAATAAGTTGATATTATTTTATAACCAATAGTATTTTAAGAATATGTATTATATTTTTTTGTATGTGAAATAAAATATATTTTTATCGAAATAAGTTTTAACTTTTTTATCCTCAAATTCTTACATTAAAATATATATTAAAAATAATTTTCGTTTAACTTTTAATTAATAAAAAATTCAATTGAGAAAAAAAGATAGAAATATCTTTTTTAAATCTTTACCCAGAGTTAAAAAATTAAAATAGCTTAAAGTGTTATGCTAAATTATTAATAACAAAAATAAATAAAATTTATTTACGAAATTAGTTTGATTTAACTTATCAATAATTCCAAAATTTTATTTCTAAAAAGTTATTTTTTTAATTTTGATAAGTATTCTAAAAGTAAAAGATTTATTATAAATTATTATAATGATAAATCTTGAATAATAAATTTTTTTATTTATTAAATTTAGCTAAACACATTTACCCGCTTGAATTTGTCTGTTTTGCTTCATGCGCACAAAAGATGCGCAAAACTGACTGAAGCACTCGGAAGAGAGAGAGAACAATACACTATCTGTTTCACTTAGTCGGAACACCTTCCACTTATAGTAACTGTCCATATAGGAGTATTACATATATGCTAGAATCCGTAAAAAGGATTCCCCCCCTAAAAAAAAAAAAAAACACACACACACACACACCGAGGGTAGCGTTGTTCGCGTCCGTAGGTTCTGCTTTTACACCCTACACGTGCTCTCCGGGTAGTGCCAAATGAACAACACCAAACAACGATATGACAAACAACACCAAACAACAAAAAATGACAAAGCTGCTGTTTCAGGACTTAAATACCATAAATGGTTTTTAAATTTCGCTAAAACTGCTTCTGATAATTTTTGATAAAAATATCTCTTCTGACGTAAAGCAAAAAATGGTTGCGGCTTTGACATCAAGCGATGAGAATCAGTTTGATTATCCTAAACGCTTCATTTTCAACTTGGAGGATTTTAATTCGTTTCTCAATAAAAACGTTGATTATTTTATAAGTTCGAATTCCCTCAAATTTTTCGAAAGATTTTGTATCGACACAAACTTTCTTCAACTAGATGATAGTTTATGGTCAGATCATCCAGGTTATTTGAAAGGTTTGGAAATTCTTCAGCATCTACAAGTAGTCAATGATTCTGCAGAGCGAGCTGTCAAATTGACTGAAGAATATATCAACACTCTAGCTAAGCACGAAGATCAAAAACAGTATGTCCTCCAAATTGTTATTGAATATAAAAAGAAATTTCCAAATGTCACTAAGAAATGTTTGAAAAAATAAATTGTGTTCACTGATATGTCGAAAATTTATTAATCCTGTTACATTTCTTCAAATATGCAAATAAATTGCAAAATTTTAAGAGAAACTTAGATTGTAAATTTAAATTTCTGGTTATCGGAATATGCAACACTAATTTTACGTATAATACAGTTGAAATGAAATATTTTTTGCGATAAACAATTAATTTTTACATAAATAATGACAATTTTTCGGTCAAAATAAAAAAAAACGAAGAAATTATTTTTAGCTTAACTTTGAGCTTAAATAACTTTTGAGCAAGTAAATTTATCGAAAAAAGTTAAGAGTAAGTTTTTGTAGAGCGTTCAGTTTTCCTACAAGAACATTTGTTCGCCATTGCCGTATATGAACTAGCATATGAACAGAAAAATTAATAATAAAACGTGCCAAAACCCCATGTTATTTAAATGGGAAATGTATCGTCTTTGTGGCAAGGTTTAATATCAATATTAAGGGCTTATATGGGTCTGATATTTTTTTTTAGGTCACGAACTAAAAATTTTAGGGGCGCTGCAATGTCAAAAACCAAATTGGTAAGTAACGGACACCCTAATAGACAGCATCGTAGGGGAGCTTTTCCCCAAACATCTGCCGCGGGAAAAGAAACACTACACTAAAAACAGCGAAGTAACACCCTTCACAACTAAGGAATTACAAGATGAGGCAAAGTCACTTAAAACAGGAAAGGCACCTGGACCTGATGGCATCCCGGCATCGGTGATCAAGATTGTAGCCCTGGTATACCCAGACATACTCCTGAACACCTACAACGCATGCTTGGCAACTGGCACGTTTCCCGCGGTCTGGAAACGGCAGAGATTAGTTCTCTTAGACAAAGGTAAGGGAACCCCCATAACACCGTCGTTTAGACCACTCTGTATGCTGGCTATTGCTGGAAAACTGCTCGAGAAGCTCATACAAGGGAGTCTTCGCAACGACATCGACCGTGCCGGAGGTTTCGCTACCAACCAGCATGGCTTCCGGAAAGGTTATTCGACAGTCGGAGCGATCAAGAAAGTCATGAAGACAGCAACACAAGCATGGTCTAGTAGCCTCAAAGCTCGTAAAGTATGTCTTCTCCTCACGCTAGATGTCAAAAACGCATTTAACAGCGCAAATTGGGGAAACATTTTAGACGCACATTTTGGAGCACAAGTTCGACGCGGAGCCAGAAAATCTGGCACTAGTCGACAATTACCTTGACGATAGAAAGCTAATAGTGGAAACTACTGAAGGCCCACAAGAATACGTCATAACGGCTGGCGTGCCGCAAGGCTCAATAATGGGGCCCGATCTATGGAACGTGGACTACGACGAGCTTTTTGACATCCCGTTGCCAAAGCAAGTGGAGCTAACGAGCTTTGCAGACGACGTCGCAGCCACGATAATAGTAGACAGCGTAGAGGAGGCCGAACTACTAGTTCGGGAAACCATTGATGCTGTTGAGACTTGGCTCGATGAACACCACCTGAAACTCGCCAAGCACAAAATCGAGATGGTCGTTCTGACTCGCCAGAAATATGGGCAGATATATTAAAGCAGAAAACCTATCGGCGGAAAATGGCAGCAGAGCAGCGAAGAGGCGCTCTCAGAGTTACCTGCACCTACCGCAGGGTTTCCGAAACGGCTGTATTGGTCATTGCGGGAGCTGCGCCCATCGACCTATTAGCGTTCGAGAGAGCAAGTCTCTACGACGCTAAAATCGGCGGCGAAAACATGAAGGAGGTAAGAACGAGGATAAAAACGGAAACGCAGCAAGAGTGGCAGGACCTATGGACGTCGCGGGAGACAGGCAGATGGACAGCGCGACTGATCCCAAACATCAACGCCTGGCTCTCTCGGAAACACGGGGATACGGATTTCTTCCTGACCCAACTACTGACAGGGCATGGGCAGTACAACGCCTATTTCTTTAAGATGGGTTTACACAACACACCAACATGCAAATACTGCCCGGATAAAGTCGACGACGCCGAACACACATTCTTTGAGTGTGCGCGATGAAAGGACTACAGAACAAGCACCGAAGCGATCATAGGCACCAGGCTCTCGCCCTCAAGCCTGGTGACCTATATGATCAAACAAGAGGAAAACTGGTCAGCTGTTGCAGCTTATGCACAGCACCTCCTGAAAGACAAAATCGCAGAAAGGGACCAGTAGCCAGGAGTAGGCGTCGTGAGACGCAGCACGACTGGATTGAAGTAATGCTAACGCGGTTCCAATCCAGTTCTCCCCATATCATCTAGGGGAGAGGGGAAGAGGAATGTTTTTTTTAGTGGGTAAAAATCTCCACACTACCGACTATCGATATCTGCCGTAAGATGGGCGGCAGAGTTAACGATAGCGGTGTCTTTTGAAGATCTTTTTTCTTACCTCTTTACAAAGAAAAAAAACACACACACACTCATACATACAGACAGACATAGTGACAAGATCGCGGGGATAGTCAGGGAAGCTTCCTGTGACCTTCAAACGTCGAGATCTGATG